CACAATCACTGGTGGCGTGACACGAAAACTTGAGCACAAGGGTACAACAACAAATAATAAAATCTATGGCGTAGAACGGCCGAACAATTTACTATTCAAGCGAAGGTGCTTGCAACAGAAAAAAAGTGACACAAAAAACAATAGACTGACTGACTTATGACAATGAACAATACACGGATGAAAACCGACACGGAGGTCATCGATTTGCCGTGATGGGTGGGCAAGGGGGTGAGTAAAGCAAGATGCTATTGATCAGACGAAATAATATAATTAATGATCTTTGTAACAACTGGTCAACTAGATCATTGTAACGGCGTTCTGTACCATACAAAGACAAAATAAAGTTAAATAAAAGTGTCAGTATTTCCGGAACTTGTTCAAAATCTAAGTTGGACATTTAAATTTTTTGAAAAGTCGTCATTTTGATTTCCCCTCTATGGACAGGTGAAGGGGCAGATTAAAAGAATATATATACCAAATTATAGATAAATACCTAACCAGTGGTGTAGTCCTAAAAATGTTTATGGGTATACACCTATATTATGAATAGATAATAACGTGGGGGGCTCCGCCCCCCCCACACCCCCCATTCCACTTTATATTTTCTACATACAATATTTCATAATTATTTTGTTGAACTTTTAACTTTATACATTTCAACAGTGATGTAGTCGTAATTTGATCAATAGATAAGTTAAAAACCTAAATGAGGAAACGTGGGAATTTTCACCCCTACACTACTTTTCAAAGGCCTTAACTATAACCTAGTTTTGGGGCACGGAATACAAATATTGTGAGGTTTTAACTGTGTTAAAAATATGTATTTTTTAATTATTACATAATGCAACTAAAACTCCTAACCCTCCCAGATATGGCCTTGCTCCTTCCAATTTCCAAACTATTAGTCAAATATTTTTACTGACACTTCTAAGTTCTTACATAAATTAAATTTCATAGTCATATAATCGATAAGTGTATTATTAGATACTGTTATATTTTTTGTAAATAAACAATAAACTTTATGCAGTAATAAAATAATCTTACAATCATTGTTTTCAAATCGTTAAAACATAAATGAAATAAACGTGAATGGGTACATGTTAGCACTATCTTAATTCATTATAGGTAATATATTAAATACTAGATTGGTTGGTAAACGGTTTATTACGGAAAAATACAAATTACCAATTTCAACAGCTATAGGTTAACCCAATAACTTTCAGTTTCAACTTAGTATGTGCTATATCGTTAATTTCTGGTCGATGTTTTAAATTTTGTCAAATGTCAATAAAATTGTCGTGAAATGATAAACATTATCCTATTTATTTTATTGATATTTATTTATACACTTTGACAGTGTTTTGTTTTACATTTATATTCTATTTTTAAAATATTTGTGTGTTTATAACTTCAGATATATGT